GTTTCTTGTTTTCTGTTTTTTTTTTTTTTCTTTTTTTTTTTATTTTTTTACTTTTTATTTTTTATTTTATGTATTTATTTAGTTGTTTATTTTCTTTCTTTCTTTAGATTATTTTTTTAACTTTTTTTTTTATTTTATGTTTTATTCATTTATTAATTTTATTATTTTTGAAGGGGGGGGGGGAGGGAAGGTGTTAAAGGCAAAGGTCTTTTGAAGGCTGATGTTCTGTATTTGTGGATGATATGTTTTGTTTACAGCAAATATTAATTTTTATCAGTGTTGTAATTATTATATTGCTATTATTATTATTGATTGATATTTTTGATACTGTATCATCATCATTATCACATCATCATCATCATTATATATCATCATTACACTATTACTTTTTATTATAGAATTAGTAGCAGTATTATAACAGTCCTATCGCCGCCAAATACTTATGTTATTTGTGTGTCTATTGTCATTACCATGAATCATTATTACGAATTTTGAGTTCATGTATAATCATTACTACCAGGTAATAGTTGATATATTTTTATCACGACGTCTAAACACCACTGACCTTGGGAAAGAAGTTTTGCACAGTCAAGGCCGCCTTCCCGCTTCTCACTCTCTCTCCTTCATTCCTCCCTCTCCCACTGTTGTCTTTTGTCCTTGCCCCTCCTCTCCCTATCCCACTCCTCACCTCCTCCTACCCGTCTACTTTCCCATCCTCCTTCCCTCGTCTCCTCCCTCCCTGGCCCACCGTCCTTCTTCTCCGCTCTCCTTTCCCTCTCCATCTTACTCTCAACTCTAACCTTCCTCCTCCCTCCCTCCCTCTATAGCCCTTACCATCCATCTTTCTTCCTTCGCCTCTCTTCTTCCCCCTCCCTTCTCATCGGTCGTTCCGCCGCCCAATCCCTTTCTCCTTCCAATCTCTCTTTACTCTCCCTCTCTCATTCATGCCGTCCCTTCTCTCTCTCCGGGCTCCTTTCCGCTCGGCTTCTTCTCTATCCTCCTCCCCCCTCTCTCTCTCCTACCTCCTCTCCCTCCCCTCCTCCCCTCCTCCCCCCCCCTCTCTCTCCCTCCCCCCTCTTCCTTCTCTCTCTGTCTTCTTCTCCTCTCTCTCTCTTTCTTGTTTCTTCTTTCGAGTGAATTCATGTGCATAATCTGTCTTTGGCGCAATGCAAGTCCTCGGGCTCATGGTCATCTCGCTGAATTTGTTTTGTTTCTTTTGCTCGCGCGATAATTTTGTGCCTAGCGGTGTTTGTCCGTCGATTGTGTGTTCGTTCATTCAGACATGTTTCTTGTTCAGCGTCGTTCATTGTGGTGTTTGTGCCGGTGGTTTCATT